TTCAGCTTGTTGGCATCAGTTGACGTAATCGAATTCCAGACTATGGACGCATATTCAAGCTTAGATCTAACTAATGCAGTGTACAATCTGAGTATAGTCTTGGACGCATATTCAAGCTTAGATCTAACTAATGCAGTGTACAATCTGAGTATAGTCTAAGGTGAGAAACTGAAAGTAATGTTATGAACTAGACCCAACAGTTTAACACAATGAGAGAAAATGTAATTGACCCGGTCATGGAAACATACTTAGCATCAATAAAGGGCTTTTATAGAATAGGTCCGGGCTATTGACAATTGACAAAGTTTATAATCGTAGCTCAGTATATAATTATATATATTTATTATATATAATAGTAATAATAATGACAAAAATGACAAAAAATATATACTCTGACAGCTAGCTAGATGCAATGTCAAATAGAGGAAATCTGTAATGTCCACTTAGATATGACAATGGGACAACAAGCAAATTCAAGTTTCATAATTACTGGTATCATTAGCCCAAAATGTTCCCACAATTCAACATTTAAAGGACCAAAGTACTCTATAATCAAGTGTTCACAAATTATGAAGTGGTTCACTGGTTTTGTATAGTTAAAACCTCTACAAAGTATTGATCCTATAAACAAATGGTAGTATGTTACAGAAGTTTTAGGTGTATAACTATGTAACACAGTGAATTCTTTGCTTGTTTGTGGTTTGTACTATCACTGCTACTCGCTCTCATATATCACTACGGACTGCAAAACATTAATCTATTCTGTACTAAGTGTCAAAGCACCCCGGAGCAAAGTATAACTTTCTGCTGACATACCAAATAACAGTCAAGGAAAGTTTTCTCTGTGCTTAATTAACTAAGCATTATGCCATGGAGACAATATGAGGGGGTGGAAGTAGAGCTCCATGTATTCTTATCCTCAGCTTGTAACTAGACAGCAATGAGTGGTTATCAATAAAATGTTGAAAGCACAAAATAAATTGTTTTGGACAGTGAAGACAAGGAAAACTCACTGGAAACAGAAACAGAAGTTTCCATGTATAAATTCCTAAAGCAACCAATTTTAGGAGCATACTGTTAAGATGGGTCATGAAGGTTAACACATTCTCTACAGAAACTAGATAACATATTCCTATACACATCACTGTAAATACCAAAATGACCTGTTGCAGCTATGAAAAGGATCATCTGTAATATTACTGTAACATGGCCATAAGAATTGAAGAATACATTAGAAACACCTAGGCCAAGTTTATTCTGCTCAACAAACTGGACAGAGGAGGTACTACTGACTCTCTCTGAACTGTTCTGATATAGAGCATAGAAATAATAATTTAATGGCAGTATTTCAAATTCATTTATGAGATTCTGACCTTTTCATGGCTGTACAGATTTAGGATAAATATTCTTGCATGTCCCCTAAACCCACTTATATAAAATATAAACCTGTGGGCATGCATAAACAGATTCCTTAAAACCAAAGTAATATCCACAGATCAGAGATACGTGGGGCAATCCAAGAGTTTCCGAAATTTGAATTTTGCACATGAATGGTTATGAGTACATCGAAATACCGCTAGGTGTCTCCTCACACATCCTTCTTGAATCAGTGTGGCAAGCAGCATCAAGTTGAGTGGCTGGGTTTATTGTTGGTGAACATATTCCCATTGTTGTGTTTCCGTGAGTTTGCGGTTTTGCGATGGCTGACCTGAGAGAGCAGCGTGTCTGTATAAACTTTTGTTTCAAACTTGGGAAAACCGCTGCAGAAACGCACCAAATGTTGAAGCAAGCTTTTGGTGAAAACAGTTTAGGCCAGACACAAACTTACAACTGGTATAAACGTTTTAAAATGGCCGAACACTGACTGATGATGACAATCGTTCGGGACAGCCGTCAACGGGCAAAACACCAGAAAATGTCACAAAAGTTAAGGATCTGATTCTGCAAGATCGTAGACTGATCATCCAAGACCTCTGTAACACCTTGGAACTAAGTTATGGTACAAGTCAACAAATTTTGTCAGAGGAACTGAACATGAGGAGGATTGTGGCGAAGTTTGTGCCATGACTACTGCAAAATGAACACAAGCAGCATTGCTTGGAAGTCTGCAGGGAACTTCAGCAACAGCTTCAAGAGGATCCAAACTTTCATTCAAAGGTTGTCACTGGTGACGAAAGTTGGGTTTATGGCTACGACCCTGAAAGCAAGCAGCAATCGTCGCAATGGAAGAGCCCTTCTTCACCTAGGCCAAAAAAAAAAGCTCAACAAGTCAAGAGCAACATGAAGTCCATGTTGATCTGTTTTTCTGATATTGACGGGATTGTTCATAAGGAGTTCGTCCCTCCTGGTCGGGCAGTCAATAAAGAGTTCTATCGCGATGTTCTAAGGCGTTTGTGGGAGAACATGAGGAGAAAACGTCCAGAGAGGTGGCACATGAACAACTGGGCACGCCACCATGACAACGCATGACCACATATGGCTTACATTGTGCAGGAATTTTTGGCTAAAAACAAGATGGCAGTTGTTCCCCACCCACCATACTCGCCAGACTTAGCTCCATGCGACTTCTTTCTCTTCCCCAAGATGAAAATCAAGTTGATGGGGCGAAGATTTGATACAGTTGAGGAAATTCAAGAGGAAACGCAGATGGTACTAAACACCCTAACAAAGAAAGACTTCCAGGATGCATTTGAAAAGTGGCAGAAATTCTGGGATCAGTGTATGTGCTCCCAGGGGGACTACTTTGAAGGTGATGGTGCAGAATAAGATCTAGGTAAGATGTAATAGTTTTTATTAATATATTTCGGGAACTTTTGGATTGCACCATGTATTTATTAATTCTAATTTTTATGGAGGAGGAGGAGGAGGAGGAGGAGGAAGTAATGCAAACAAATTTCAGTGTCAACTTAGAAAGCAAAGTCATTTCATAAAAAATGAAGTCATTATTTGCATTGTGATTCAGAAATCTTATGAGCAAAAAAAGTATGACCTGGTATACAACATACGAGCTTTTTCTCTATCATAAGAAGCAGTAAGCCCCACATGCACCGGTCTTAAAACTGCACAGATATGATATCTTCTCACATAGTCAGTTTGCTTACCAGTAGTGCTTTGATTATCCCGCTCTTCAACCAGGTTCTCAAATGTTGTTGCAGGAAATGGATCTTCACCAAACAGCTAAGTAAAATCGTTTCATAATCAATATATACAATTCACCACAGCAATTCCTATAACAGCTACCACAAGGCCTATGGAGGCTATGAGTAGGAGTATGAGGGGTGAGCCATAAAACTGGCCCTAGCACTGTGACCTTCAATGGTCTATTGTGCTTCCCCTTTGGATTAACCCTTTATTAATCCTACACTTCGAATGAAATGTAGGACTTTGTTTACGGGGGCCTATGGAGGCTAGCTGTCAAGTCAGAATTCATTTAGGTAAATGTAAAGTTTGACCCTGTGCCTAGGGACCACCATGATGACTTAAAAGGTGAAACTCCTTACATTCTAAGACACCATACCAGATTCATGCTTTGGCCACTTTATACACACTAGCCATTAGTTAGAGGCTGGGTCAGCCCCAAAGTCAGCCTGAATATACTGGCAAAAACAGAAATCCCTGTTCCAGTCAACCATCCCTTAGAATGTTACTTTAATGATTAAATTATCCCAGCTCAAATTCATCCATCAAAATAACTTCTACACACAGCATAACATATATAAATAATATCTTCTAACTCAGTGATTACCAATATTAATTGTACTAAATTCCTGGGATTAAACATTGATAGTACAATGTCATGGAAGGATCATATCACTGAACTGTCATCAAGACTAAATAAGGCTTGTTATGCAATAAGGGCAATAAAACCATTTATGTCTTCAGACTTAATGAAGTCTATCTATTATTCCTATGCACACTCTATTCTGTCTTACGGTATTATCTTCTGGGGTAATTCTTATCTCAGTGACAGTATTTTTAAAATTCAAAAAAGAATAATAAGAGTTATTACTAGTTCAGGTAGATACGACTCATGCCGTGAATTATTTAAAAAATTACAAATATTGCCACTTCAGTCTCAATACATATTCTCACTACTTGTCTTTGTCATCAAGAACAGAAGTTGCTTTATATCTAATTCTGATATTCATGATATTAATACTCGTTACAACCACAATTTACACTTGCCTTCTACAAATCTATCATCTGTACAGAAAGGAGTACTCTTTTCTGGAAGTAAGATTTATAACCACTTACCATTAAATATTAAAATGCTATCTAAAGATATT